GAGTTATGCATAGCTAACCCTTTGTACGCCGCCCAGTGTTATAACCAGGCCAAACTCATGTTGTTGCCATGAGCATGGAGGAAGAAATTCGTAGTGACAGGATAAACGCAATTTAATGCCAGTACCTGCTTCTTCTAGAACTATTTATAGGAACAGTCCCACGGTTCTGCTGCTATGGAATTGACTGTAGGGGTCATTGATCTTGCTGCGGGCCGAGTTATGCATAGCCGTACCATTTGTACGGCGCCCAGTGATAACGACTCAACTTTACCATGGAAAAGCATAGAACAAACTAAGAAAATATCAGTCTCTGAATTTTAGCGTGCAAATAAATCTTGTATTTATTATTTTCTTTAAGTCTCATTTTCAATTATATTTTATATTTGGTACGATGCAAATAAATGAATTACAATAAAGACAACAAGGAAGTGACAAACAGAAATTAAAAATCAAACAAAAACAACAATTCAGTAGAACATAAATTAAAGTTAATTAGCATTTTGGAAGCTGAACAACAATAATTTAGGCCAAAAAATGGCTACCGTATCCAAAAACGCCATTCCTCTACACCCAGGCCCAATACCTGTTTTTAAAATGACCTACAGAGAATGAATGAAAATAAAAAATGGGGAAAAAATAATGCCACCCTAGCTTTGCCTACTGCACTAAATTCTGATATTCATCGTATATTTTGAGTATTTATTGGCGGTCACTGTACTTTATTATGAATAGGACTACAAATAGTAGGCCTATTGTACACTAATTATTTTTGATATAGGCCTACCATAATTATTTTAAATGCAAGGTTATTCCCAACTATTATATCGGAACAAATTATAGACAATAAATCAATGGATAGAAAAAGCAATTTAAAGAATGAAATAATGATAATATGTTAAGAGATCGTAATTCAGTAAATATCCCATGGCCCATTGAGTACGACCAGAGTCTAACTTTTACTTTGTAGAGTATGTCAAAACCACAGGCCCTAAACTTCCAGCCCGGTGATGCAGTACACCGCAAGGAAGACGTTCCAAGTCCACTTTATACGCCGCGGCGTATCAACAATTGAAAACTACTTTTACACATTACCAGTGCGTTTTATAAATGAAATTAAAATTCCTGTAGTAAAATAACATAGTCATTTGGTACATTCAAGCGTTTAGAAACAATTTAATGATTATACATTTTAAATTTAATTATTTTGAAAAATTATTATAAAATTAATAACCCATATGGAATGGTAGAGTCATGGTTAATCAACGACGCAACAAAGCATGTGCTTCGCTGTTTGAAAAGGGGTGAAAGCAATACATTGAACAGCAATCTAGAGAAAACACGGAGAAAACAATATTTTACAGTATATAATACAATACCTTTTTTTAAAGAGCCTGATAATCATATATAATAAATATATTCTTTTACGCTAAACTTCGAGATTAATCAACATTGAAATAGAATAGAGTCTAGGTTTGTGCCGCATCAAAACATGTGTTTCATCGGTAGAAAAGGGTGAGAGCAGTGCATGTAACTGCTAGCTGGAGATTGTTTTTGCTTTTTTTGAAACGTTTCTCGTCACATACAATGGATATACTGTTCCGTTAAAGTTCCAGATTAACCAATATTAAAATAGATAACATATAGGCCTAGGACAACTGCTCACATTTATATCAGATAAAGGTACGTTATATGAAGTTCAATATTTTTTTTTTGTATTTCGCTAACAAAGGCAGTGTATCCTAAGTACATTATCGAATGTAGGCCTACTGTAGTAGACCGATATCTGTCTGTCGTCCTAGACAGTTTTATTTAATAATCTTAATTAATACTAAAACGATATAAGAAATGATAATTTTAAAGACTAACTGTAAAAAAGATATAATTAGGCCTAACAAACATTCACAAAAATTGCCTGTTTTCGATTTTTAATTTTACTCCGTAATTTTTCTGAGTAAGCCAAATCCTAGGCCCTATCCATGGAGGTATAATATCTATGTCCTAGGCCTCTCTTAGTTTTATATTTCTGCTGTCTGTTGGTTTTGATCGTAACGGTGACGATAATCTCGATAAATTATTAATGTAATTCTCAGAAATATAACATGAGCTTGCGTTACTTTCAATAGGGTTTATTTTTATACGAGATGTTTTGTTTGTGTTAATTGGGTTTTTACACTAAGCCTGTTATCAATTCCCCACTACGAAGTGGAGTAGCCCAGGAAAATAATCCCAACGCG